CCATCAGTTGAGGGATATTTAGGCTCTTTCCATAATTTGGCTATTGTTGAAAGTGCTGCTATAAACATTGGGGTACAAGTGCCCCTATGCATCAGCACCCCTGTATCCCTTGGGTATATGCCTACCAGTGGTATTGCTGGGTCACAGAGTAGATCTATTTTTAATTTTTTGAGGAACCTCCACACCGTTTTCCAGAGCGGCTGCACCAGTTTGCATTCCCACCAACAGTGCAAGAGGGTTCCTGCTTCTCCACATCCTCTCCAGCATCTATATTCTTCTTATTTGTTCATTTTAGCCACTCTGACCCACATGAGGTGGTATCTCAGTGTGGGCATTAATACTTTTTTAAATGTTAGGTAGAACTCACCTCTGAAGCCACCTGGTCCTAGACTTTGTTTATTGGAAGTTTTAAATTGCTGATTCTATTTCATTGCTCATAACCAGTCTGTTGAAATTTTCTATATTTTTTTCCTGTTTCAGTTTTGGAAGGTTATATATGCCTAGGAATTCATCCTCTTCTTCTAGGTTGTCCAATTTGTTGACATACAATTTTTCACAATGTCCTCTTACTTCTGTGGTGTTGGTCATTACCTCTCCTCCTTCATTTCTGATTTTATTTTAGTCCTCTGTCTTTTCTTGACAAGTCTGGTGAAAGGTTTATCCCTTCAAAGAATCGGCTCTTACTTTTATTGATCTTTTCTATTGCTTTTTTTTTGTCTCAATTTCATTTATTTCTTCTCTAATCTTTATTATTTCTTTCCTTCTACATGACATGATGCTATATACAGAAAACCCAAGATTCCACCTAAAAACTACTAGTACTAGTAAACGAATTCAATAAAGTCACAAGATGCAAAATTAATATACAGAAATCTGCATTTCTATACATTAATGAAATAGCAGAAAGAAAATTTTAAAAACAATCCCATTTACAGTTGCATCAAAAAGAATAAAATACCTAGGAATAAATCAACAAAGTCAAAGACCTCTACTCCAAAAACTATAAAACACTGATGAAAGAAGTTGATGATTACACAAATAGAAAGATATTCCATGCTCATGGACTGGAAGAATCAATATTGTTAAAATGTCCATACTACCTAAAACAATCTAAAGATTTAATGCAATCACTGTCAGAACACCAAGAGCATTTTTCACAGAACTGGAACAAGTAACCCTAAAATCTGTATGGAACTACAAAAGGTGCCAAATAGCCAAAGCAGACTTGAAAAAGAACAAACTTAGAGATATCACAATCCTAAATTTCAAGACATATTGTATAGCTATAATAATAAAACAGTATGGTACTGGCACAAAAATAGACACATAGATCAAGGAAACAGAATACAGAGTCCAGAAATAAATCCACACTTATATGGTCAATTAATCTATCACAAAGGACAGAAGGGTATACAATGGGCAAAAGATAGTCTCTTCCACAAATGGTATTGGGAAACTGGCAGCTATACCCAAAGAATGAAACTGGACCACTTTCTTACACCATAGACAAAAATAAATTCAAAATGGATTAAAGACCTAAATGTGAGACCTGAAACTATAAAACTCCTAGAAGAAAACATAGGCATTAATTTCTTTGACATTGGCCAAGGAAGCATTTTTCTAGATATGTCTCCTCAGACAAGGGAAACAAAAACAAAATTAAACTATTGGAATATACTAAAATAAAAAGCTTTTTCCACAGTGAAGGAAACCATCAATAAAATGGCAAGGCAACCTATTCAATGGGAGAAGATATTTACAAATGGCATATCCAATAAGGGGTTAATATCCAAAGTATAAGAATTTATACAACTCAACATCAAAAACACAAATAATCTGATTTAAAAATGGACAGAGACATGAACAGACATTTCTCCAAAGAAGACATCCAGATAACCAACAGACACATGAAAAGATGTTCAGCATCACTAATCATCAGGGAAATGCAAATCAAAACCACAATAAGATATCACTTCACACATGTCAGAATGGCTAAAATAAAAAACACAAGAAACAACAAATCTTGGAACCCTCATGCACTGTTG